ATTATTTTGCCATATTTGCTTTAATCTCCTCCCAGCCCTGGCGGCGGCTGATGTACTGGGTCCTCTGCTGGTCGATGGCGGCTTCTGCAGCACTCGGGTAGGTCCTGGATCTCCCCAGGAGGCACACCTGCGCGAGAAGGGGAGTCACCCCCTGCTGAGCGCCCTGGTCCTGCTCAGGAGCACAAGTCACAGAACAGCCGCTCTCCATCGGGAGAGAAAGCCCCCTTCACACACCACAGGGCCCGCGCCCTGATCGTGAGCAGCAGCAGAAGCTGAGGACGCTCATGCTCAATCTGTGCGGGACGGACAGATGTCTGCGTGCTGACCGAGAGCTGCGTCACTGTGCCCAAGGGCACCCACCTGAGACACTGCGCCCACGTCAGCCCCCCTCCACTCCCAGTCCCTGAAGGTCACCCTAAGAGCTTCCGGGGAGCGACAGGAGGAGCCGTCTTTATATCGGTCTCAGTCCAGTGCGGATGCTCCACCTGGCTCCTCCCTCCCTCCTTCACGCCTGCCCACCAAGGCCACCTGCCCTTCAGAGACCCTGGTGCCAGGCCGTCCAGGGATGCTGCCCAACACAGCGTCTGTGCTTCCTCCTTGGGCACCAACTACAAAGCACCAACGACAGGCGACAGGCGAGGCAAGGAAGCGGATGTGAGGAGTCACAGCCCCTCCAGTGCCCCGGCTCCGCCACCTGCAGCACGTGACACCACGGCAGGCGCTTCTGTGCGGGAACGGGCGCCTGGCGCAGGATCAGCCCGCGGTGTGCGCATCCACGCCTGCATCTGACCCCAAACCACCGTCACACGGCCCTGAGGCTGAGGGATTAGGGAATAGCCTGAGGCGCCTACAGATGCAGGGAACAAGGAATAAGAAATCAAACTGGGCCCTCGTGCCCACCCACACGACCCTAACCGCAGTCTGCAGCGCCTCTAACCTCAGGAGACACCGACCTGCCCGACGGGGGGCGAGTGAGAGAAGGACGAGTCCTACAGGAAACCCGGGTGACTGAGCAGCGAGCACCGGAGCCACGGGGCCCTCCCACCACCCGGTGGGCGCCGCCTCTAAGACACGGCCCTGACCGCCTGGCAGTCACAGGAGGGCACCCTGGCCAATCACATTTCAGGAAAATCTGAAGCGGTGAGGCTCTGAATAAGAAAACCTTGAACAGCTCTGAGCTTCCAAACAGCCTTTAACTTCAGTCAATCGTTCACGAATCTAGGACTCAGAACTGAGTGTGTTGAGCCTCAGACAACACTGCCCAGGCCAAGAGGTCTCCGCACAGGCCCCGCTGACACCTGCCCCGGAGAGGGAGGGTGGGAGAAGCCTGAGTCCCAGCGATGACCGCGTGTGCGCTTGGCACGGCGCCTTCGGGAACACCCTCCCCCAACACCA